AGAATATTATTTCAAGGACCAACAAAGGCGTTGATTTTTTAAAAAAATATTTTTTTCACGGACCTCAACGAAGAGCCCTCAACGAAGAGCCACAACGAAGGGTCCACCACATCAAAACACTTTTCCCGAGTTCCAGATTTCAATATTAAGAGCTAAATTTTTTAAGTAATAATTCTCTTTTGGCCTATATGAAACTAGCTTTTCCAAGAGAAAATGTCCCATTTCAATACACACTCTTAAATATCAAAGGAAACCGATTCGATCAATCTTCATTTCACCCTCATTCGTTAACTGCCATAGAAGTTCCAGAACTGTTCCCTCAATTAGATATTTCGTCACGTTCTCACTATGTGTCCATCATGCTACCCCGCATATTTCATGGAAAAATATATGTTCTGGAAAAAAGTAACAAGTGTGTGTGTGTGTGTAAAATTCACAATTTGCATATGTCCAGATTCCATTTCCCCTTAGGCGCCATTTTTTAAATTACTCTCTTTTGGCCTTCATGAAATCTGAAGTGTAAAACAAGGTGCTCATATGTATCTCATTCCCCGTTCAAGGTTAAAAAACTCCAATATGTTCACATTCCTTTCGTTTCTCATAACTACTCCAGAAGAAAATGCGCCTTTTCAGTACACTCTCTTAAAAATCGATGGAAAACAATGCAATCAATATTCGTTCCAAAATTCCTTCGTTAAGTCCCAGATATTCTCCATCCATACCGGTAAAAGAGAGTTTCAAAATTGACCACCCATTTAGTTCTTTCGTCGCGTTCATAAAGTGTAGACATCCGTGGTAGTGATCGGTTAAATTTTTGTTGCAAAATAATTGAAAATAGAAAAAAAGAATTAAAAGTTTTTGAAAAAATTGAAAAAGTTGAATACAAAAAAAATGAATAAAATCGATTTTTTATTTTGTGTCTACTTAAATATTCTGTAATATTCCATTCTTTCTATTGCAAAATTGTTTTCTTATTAGAATATGTTAGTGTTCGTGTGTGTATGTATTTGCTTGCTTTGCTGTTTGTTCGATCTTTGCGCGTTTGGCTACAAAAAGCTTTTCAATACAAAGAAATATCTTCCCATTACAACAACGTATCCGTGTCCGCTACAAATGGAGCTACAGCTGCATTTCCTTTAGGTTTGCTATCTGTGTGCCGGTTAATAAATGTTTCGTTTCGGTATCGGTTCACCACAAAAGCTTATTTAGATAAATTTGTATATTTCTATTGAAAATTGTTCATCATTTAGTGCGGGTTCGAACCATAAAATGTGGTTTAATTTTCGAAGTCGTAGATAAAGCAATAAAAGGGATTTCGTAATTCAGTGTCTTAAATTTGTGTCCCAGTCGGGAAATTTAAAAATAAATATTAAAAAAGTGTAAAAAATGAAAAATACCCAATAAATTTACTTATTGTAACGGAGAAGAAGGAATTTAAAAGGTAAGTGCTTGCAAGTTGTCTAACCACGTTTCTATTGCCACCCTCTATTGTTTGTTATTGAAAAAATCCTATTAAGCGAATGAAATATCCGATTGCTGCTGTGTGCCACAAACTTTTACTGGTCAACAAAGACGTTTATCTCTATTCATTCTGTTGTAACATATATATTTGTTGATAAAATATATTCTGTACTACTCGAACAATCGATTTGATATAATAAATGCCAATATCAATCGATATTTTCTCACATACTGCAAAAATATTCCGGCCTTCTTCAATAAGGAATATCGAAATTGAATCGTTACTTTAGGTTAATTCCAATTTTTTGAGTTTTTATTTCAAATATTTATATATTTTAATTATTTATTGTTTTCTACTAATTCCAGTAATTTCTGGTACATTCGGACCTTCATTTTCTATAATAAGGGTTTTTTCGAATGTTGGGTGTACTGTACAATTTGTTGCCAAATTTGATAGATTTTACAGATTTTTTAAATTTTTTATCTGTAAATGATTTTACATAATTTAACATAATTTAACGAAAGTAAGGAGTTTTTTTAAATTATTTCAAAAAAATGCAGTAAAGAAAAAAATCACACAATGTTTTAAATATGTGGTCACATCAAAGGCGACGTTTTTTATAAAAACCGTTATTTATGGAAAAATTGCATGAAATAATTTTCTATTTTCACACTAAATCTCTTAAGTGCAGTATATCTAAGTGTTCTGAATTGGAAAAAAAAAATTAAAAAAAAAACTTCCAACAAATCGAGGGCTGATCAAAAAAATTTTTACCACAGTTAATGTTTTAACGACGTGAACACCTCGGTATATTGTGAGACTTATCAGCGCATTGCTTCTTATAAATCCAATATTAACCCTTTGAGCCCCGAATTTTTTCTGTGACAAAAGAACAATTTTTTGTACACAAATGCAGCTATCCTAAGTAGGATATAAACAACATTTGACGTCGCTACATCCCTGCATTCGGGTGATACCGTACGTTCTTTCCGAAAAATAATAGTCCAATATCAACAAAAGCTAATGCAATATCGACAAAAAAATCACTTTTAATTATTCCTGAGGTTTTTTTATAATACCCAACAACAATTCACACATTTCGAATACAAATAAATTATTTGGACTGTATACACAAATTGGTATTGTACATATTTGGGCAGTCATCTATGTATTGAAAAGCGTATGACTTGACCAAAAATTTGAATTTTTTATATTTTTCTTTTGATATGTGTCGTCCATAATCAGCTCACGTATTAACTATAAGCTCTGACGTATTAACTATAAGCTCTGAAATAATTTGTTGCCTGTGGGCAACATTCGGTTGGCCCAAACTTTACACGATTTGGCCCAAACTTTACACATCATAATATTTTCACCAATCAAGTCCGAAGATGAGAATCAAGTTCACTCCTTTTAGTAGCTCCCCCACAAAGTGTCAATATTTTCAGTTTTTTAATTAAATATTAAAAAAATTGAATATCCGATTGACCCAAACTTTGCACATTGTTGAATTTTTACCAACTCAAATATCCATCCACTTCATCTGGTACCTTTGAAATTCTATTACCATCCCACAAAGGGTCATCTTTTTTAATCTATTGTTTGTACATTGTAATATAATTTAAATCCGGAGATGGGGTCTATAGGACAGCCTCTTGTTCTGGTAACTTTCCATAGATAGTCAACTTTTTAACAAAAACATATATATATATATATACCTTATATACAGCAAATAATAAAAACTGTGTATAAATCCGTATACCTCCGCAAAACATTAGCTGACGGTATATACAGAGACTAACACATTTTACTTGTTTCCCTATTACAGTCTTAAAAGAGCTATCGTTTCGAACTTTGGAGTCCAACTTCTATTATCTTGACCCATAATAAAGAGCCCTTTACAATATTTCAGGTTATAACCATTTCTATATTCGTAGACACTCCAGAATTATTTGTCATTCTTTCCACCAATTTTGGTTATGCCGGATGTACTCCCATGATTCATATTCATAAAATACCAGCCAGTCGTTGGAACTTCGTTTGCGATTTTTTAGCAATCAAAATCCATCTAATCCTAAATACCATTTCCTATACTTTATTCGTCTATCAAATACCAATGGTACGAAAATTATAACCTTTTCGATAATCATAGACACGCCCATTTTTCAATATTTTGGGCATATGTCGGAGTTACTTCTATGATTCATATTATGTCACAGTAGCAAGTACCGCAATTAAGTTTTCGAGTGATACTTTCCACTTATCCACATTGTATTATTGCTCAAAAGAGCTGTCGTTTACACCATTCCAAGACATTATCTTGTCAATAATTGGTAAAATTTCCGTACAGTTAAATAACAGTTTTACAAAGAACCACATCAAGTTCTGTTTGAAATTTCTAGAAATTGCTTTGGGCGAAAGAATTGGAACTAAGTGCTAATTTTATTTCCAAAAACCATACCTTTGTCTCAACACCACATACTTATCAAAATACCTTATCAAAATTTAGGATTTACTACCCTTGCTTTAAAATTACAACCATTTAGAACTTTTCAAACCTATATTTTAACCTTATCCCTAAACGAACAACAACTCTCATTACAAGTTTCATTATTATATATATTAGCCAAATATGGTAACTTCATAATGCCCTCTCATAAAAGTCCTACTCTCTATTTGAAAAAACTCTAGTAGTCGATTTTCACAATTCTACATAGAAACCAATTTTTTATCATTAAAAAAATTTTGTAATGCAAGAAAAAGATGATAATCTCTGATAAACTTCCCAACCAAGCTCCCGAAGTTTCTGGCGAGTCACTGTATATGTGTGTGGCCTAGCGTTGTCCTCTCCTGTTGGCAAATTCTGGCAGTGTCTGGTCAATTGATATCTTCAAACTATCCAGTTGTTGACTGTAGAGGTCAGAATTTAGCGTTTGGCCATATGAAAGCAGCTCATAATAAATAATTCCCTTCCAGTCTCACCAAAAGCATATCAGAACCTTTCTGGCCGTTAGACCTGGTTTGGCCACCGTTTGAGGTACTTCACCGCTCTTTGATCGTTTTCGCTCAGGGTTAATACCATTTTTTTTCCATTTTAGTGCATTTTTGGAAATAAGCATCTCCTAATTCTATTTTTTTCAACCTTAGACAATTACAAATAATAATTGGTACACTTTTAATGTGAGATGCCACAAATCCTTTCCTCTCCACTTTCTTTCCTTTCCAAATCAATAACAGTCAGTCCCATTTTCATTTTGAATAAATTGTAGTACCCTTTTCCTGGTGCATATTAAAACAAACCCAGGCTTATCATACAACTACGCAGCTATACTAAGCCACAGACAAAAATTCAAGATTCTTACTTTTTTTCTTCGCATACAAAATTTGAAGATCAAAAGAAATCAAAATTAGAATTATTTTAGTGTAAAACTCTTATTTTTTATTCTATAACAAAACTTATATCTAAATACATACATATTATATCATTTAATTACGTTAAACAAAATTAGGATTATTTGTTTATTCTTTTCTCTAATTAAAATTTTATACCGTAACTACCGATGATTCCTTAGCCATTACGGATTGTTTCAAATTGGACGTTCTATTTGTATCCTGAACAAAATGTATGACATCATCTTGATTATTGGAGACATCAGCGGCAGCCGTCAGCAATTCCAAAGAGCCTTGCAATTCCAATAGATCGTAGGTTATTGCCACTTCACGTTCCAAAACATATGACAATTCTAGGAACTTTTTACCCACAGTACCGGTAAATGTGTGTATCTTATCTTCGTAGACATCGAGTAGTGTGGTAGCTACATCGATGAGAACACGCATAAAACGATGTTCACTAATATAACGGCAGATGAAACCGATAATTTGACACAATGATGCATCATCACGCGGCGCCAGTGCGCGATTCAAACCCTTACGGTGTATCAATTCTTGCATAACACTCACAATTATTTCCGGAGATTTTGTTGACAAGCCACGACCCATAACCGAATCCAAACATTTACTATATTCATAACGTTTCAAATGTCTATCGTATTTCTCCAGACGTAGTCTCTGTTCTTCGGTAATCTGATGATCTACAGCAATATCGGGTTTGGCAGAAATAATGTTTGCCTTACGACGTGATTTCGCTTGTTTGGGACGGGCAGGAGCTTCCATATTTTGTATAGAAATCAGGCCATCAACCATACCGGCCACCACAGTTTGATCGTTGGGAGCAACACCCAAACTCAACACAGCATTGGGATAATCTAGGGTATGGACTGTTTGATATGTAGATACATCGTAAATTTTGACATGACGATCTAAACCTCCGGAGAGGATACGTTTTCCATTGGAACCCAAACGTAAACAGGTAACGGTTTTATGATGTTGCGAAAGTTTTGTCAAAAGACGGCAGCCAGCAAAAGCATCCCAAACACGAACTTCCGTGCCACCAGCACTAATGAAAATACCACCAGTTGGTAGGAAAAGCAATGACTCCACCGGACTGCCATGATCCACAGTCATAGTAACTTCTTTGGTACGTGTATCGTACAAATTAATTTTACCATCATAACCTCCGGAAACAATAACATCGGCAGAGACTGGATTTACTGTACCAGCTCGTATATAGTCATCATGGGAGGCGAATGTGTGAATCGATTTTTCGCTGGCCACATCCCATAGTTTTACCGTTTTATCATCTGAAAAACTGGCAATATGCAACAGGTCCGATGTGAAATTGACTCTATGCACCGGCGCTTTATGACCCTTGAATAGACGCAGCACATTTTTACTTGAAGTATCGAACAACTTCACCAGACCCTGTTCATCACCAGCCACCAACAGACGTCCATCTTGTCGGAAGGTTCCACCATAGGCTGTCTCTTGAAAACGTGACAAATTCTTGACAACTAATTTCGTTATGGGATTGTAGATTTGCACCCTCACGGAACAGGTCACGGCAAAGTAGTGTGGTTCAATGGGTGAAAAATCAATATAATCGATGGCACCAAACTCCTTGGCCAATGTGGGAACCTAATTTAAAGGGAATGAAATTGAGAATTGTTAAGATAATTTTATACACTAGGAGAGTTACAAAAACAAACTTACACTCAATCTTTTCCAGTATTCTGTGTCCGGTGTAACCACCTGTCCAGTTTTGGGATACTTCTTGACATTTAAGGGTTTAAAACTGGTCATTTTTGTTGGGTTTTTTTACTTAAAAAATTAAAATATTTAAATGAAATACAAATAAAAACCAATTCCTCTAAAAAATCCAGCAGCTTGCTGCCAATGTTTTGACATTTATCGACTACACGTGCTGTCAACAAAACAATAACAGTGTTGTATTTCATTACATTGACAGAGAATGTTAACGCGGGTGCGTTTTACGCTTGCTGGTATTTTCTCAAAAGGGAAGGGAATTTTGGAATTTCAAAATTAGATATTTTACATTTTACAATAAATAAGAATTATTTTATAATTGCGAGAGGTGTAAGGAGAAACCTTCACTATCTATAGAGAAAGATCCATTGGTACTAGAGAGAATCACAGAGAAGTAATGTATTGGAGGAAGGGGACTCCTTTGAACAGCGCTGTTAAACGACATATACTTTATGACGATTTATTTGACATATATGCAAAGGAATTGACAATTGAAACCCATTGGGTTAACGAAATCCGGTTAAATGTAAACGTACTATTAAATAGCGATGTAAAATATTTGCAACCGGTAACCCATTTTTATACCCTTCACCACACTGTGGTACGGGGTGCATATGTTTGTAACAGGCAAAAGGAAACGAGATAGACACATAGTTTCTTTTGAGAATATGCATTTCTTTCTGAGTCGATATGCATAAATCGTCCGTCCGTCTGTCCATGTTAAATTGTAAACAATTATAATTTATAATCCGAATTGAATGAAATTTGACAGAACTCATTTATTTTGCACAAAGACGAACCCTATAGAAACTTAAGAAAATCGGTTCAAATTGCTCCCACATATATTTTCGTTTGATTTTTTCTAAATGGTGCACCAAATCACCAATGTTTGTCCGATTAAGACACAATTTTGCACAGCGAACTGAATTAGGTGCAGATTGATCCATGCGAAATTTTGTTAAAATCGGTTCAGATTTAGATATAGTTCCCATATATATTTTCGTTCGATTTTATCTAAATTGTGCACCAAACTCCCAAACGGTTCAGATTTAGATATTGCTCCCATATACATTTTCGTCCGATTTTATCTAAATTGTGCAACAAACTCCCAATATTTGGCCGATTGACACAACATTTGGTACACCGAACTCCGATTTAGATAAAATTTTGTTGAAATCGGTTCAGATTTACATATATTTCCATATAATTTTGGCCGGATTTCATACAAATGTTACACCAAAAATTCAAGTCTGCCAGATTGACATGCAATTTTGTATAGATTTCAGAATGGTATGTGAAGAGGTCACTTAATTAAACCAAAATGTCAAATTACAGCCATTTCGATCTTCATCTTCAAAACCACCTTAGGCTTTTTGTAGGAATGGGCCTTGTCAAAAGAATGTTATGCTATTATCTGCGAGGACATCTATACGAAATGCCAAATGGCAGCGATTAATTTTTGAAATTTTAGTCCAGGGATTGGTTGATTTAAGGGCCCATAAGCTAACAATATATATATATAGTCACGGGTGCTCTCATAATATAATATATCAGTCTGGAAAAGGCTGCAATATCGATTTAACTCAAATCTGAAATAAAATATATAGGTTTTTATGATATTTTTGGGATGGACGAAGACAGCCCATCCTTCGAAAATATTCTATTTGAAAGAAAATTCTGTAGCGTAGCCGATGATGGCATCTTTTCATATTGGAAAATCTGAAATCTCCAGCCGAAGGCCAGTTACTCAGAATAAGAATTATATTTTAAAGAAAGTAGCCTGTGTTGGTTCTGCCCGTAGGATAAAGTCTTTAATACCCAGTCGATGACCAGCCATCCACAAAACTAGTTATTTGATTTAAAATACATTAAATTGATACCAATATTGCCTTGGATAATTTTAAAAAGCAGGGGAAAATACAAAGAACATTAAAGGACCATATCTCCGGAAATATGGATTTCGGCAAGAAAAAATATATATCGTTGTTATCAAAGTTATCTGTTGTAAAAATTTAAAAGATCGGGCTCTTAGCTAGACTTCTTCCAATACGTTTTTACAACACCATATTTTCCACACAATTTGTTTTGGTATGCCAATATTGCATTTAAGTATTCATGTGGCAACTATTCTGCCTTCTTATTTATCAGCCCAACTCGCTATTGTGAATGATTCTTCAATTTTGACAAATCACAACAAAACATCAACATCTTGTTGGGCACGTCATCCTTCAAATAGAATCAAGTTTCAATTTCTATTTTTTTCAATATAAAAACACAACAAAAATGGTAAATATTTTTCTCCATTATCCAAGTATCACACAATAAATTGTATTTACAGAGTGCTCTCTTCAATTTCCAAAGTCTGCTGTCGGTAATTTTATTGATGATTTGCACCTGTGCGTATCTACGCTCTCTATTCCCCAGTATCATTGACCGTAACAAGACCGGGTGGGTAAAATTTATTTTTAAAACAAGGTTCAGCTATATAATTCACTATTGTATCCTTTTTTGGTCCACAGGCTATTGGGTGTTTTCTGGAAACTGGCACGGATAGGTGAACGAAAATCACCATACGTGGCGGTGGCGTGTATTATCATGGCAGCATCGCTGCTATTTTGGACGTGATTGATATTTTGTGATGGCAGCATCAGCAGCAGTTACTCCATGGACTTGTACCCACAGATTTGAAGGCTATGAGTGATTTTATTTTTTATAATAATTATCCACTCCAGTGTTGGTTTTTTTCGGTTAATTGAACAATTTTGCATTTCCTTGTTTTTTGTAGAATTAATCCTCTCCATATATGTATGAGTGTGTATGTAAATACATTATTTTTTAAGACAATTTGTAAGCTACTTCTTTTCGGTGGGCTGAGCAACATAGAAGTACGGTGTTGTTTGGACTGGAAAAGTTTTGCTATATCTACAGCAAATTTAGCAAACAAGAGAAATTTGAAATTACACAATAGGAAGTAGACGAGGACTATATTTCTTGACAGTTCAAATGGTTGGAAGTCTTGGTCGGAATACTGCAAATGTAAGTTGTATGTAAATACTGATAAGCGAGAATGCCAACTTCACAACTAAAATAGTGGATTAACTTATGATACCAGTGGATCAATATCCTATCGGTGAAGAATGAAATATCAATGACACGTAAAGTTTAGTTTTGAAATTGTTACCGCAGGGCCCAGATTAGAAAGATATAACCTTTTCCTTGAGAACTACCTTACTTCCAGATATATATTCCACCAAAATTCCGTTGGGAAACTGATTTGAAATATAAATGGATGGAAATTCTTCGGCACGGAATTTAAGACTATCTCCATTTGACAGTGCATACAGAGGATACGCAACAGAATTTTATTTTAAAATAAAAACCTTTTTGTGGGTTGTTGGCCTCTCATAGTTATTAAGTTATTTTCTCATGGATAGATGCCTACACCGGCTAAGCGACATAATCGCCTTTTAAATAAAAAATTCCGAACTTTGGTAGGTATGTAACCGCCATAAAATATTATACCCATTGAATATACGGAACTATGTACGAAATAAGGGCTTCCGAAAAAAATATATTGTTGTAATCTGGGTCTAGAATTGAGCTTTTACAATTCGTGTATTAACTAACACCAGCACATTCCTTTGCACTCTTTATAATTGACCAAACGATCTGGAGCAAATATGCACATATGATAGGAATAATTAATATTATCAAAATGTGTGATTAGAAATTTTGCCTTTAATCAGACAAAGGCGAAATGCAAAATGTGAACGGTGTTTATGGTTCAGATACTATAAAAGCCAGGAAGGTGAAATGAAGACCATGACAGCTCTCTTTTATCGACGCGGTGATCGCTGATTTTACATATATCTATACATATATAAATGGACGTATTAGCAACCGTGGCATCCACCATTTGGTATGCCTTAACAGTGCGCTATCCAAAATTTATCTCTACACAAAATCTAATACACGTTATTCTAGGTTCGAGTACAAAATGGAAAAATTCGCTGTTGCAAACATAAATTTACTGTGAAAAAAATTCATTTCGGGGGGGGGGGGCCGGGCCCCCCGGGCCGCCCCCCTGCGTACGTCCCTGATGGGAGCTATATCTAAATCTCAACCTATTTCAACAACATTTCGCATACATCAATCAGGGCCCAATTCAGTACTCTATGCAAAATTTTATCTCAATCGGACCAATATTGGCAGTATGGTGCACCATTTACATAAAATCGGACGAACTTTATATGGGAGCTATATCTAAATCTGGACCGTACTTTTTGTCTTAATCAGACCAATATTCGGAGTTCGATGCACCTTTTACATAAAATCAAAATCTGAAATGTGACATGTGCCAAATTTCATCCAAATGGGATCATAAATGCGACCTTACTTTGTTCACAAAAATACTTTTACGGACAGACGGGTTTATCTCGATTTCTTTTGCGTATTACAAACATATGCACAAAGATCACGTTCCATTTTGTCTATATTGAAAGACGTAAGGACATTTCCAACCGAAATGGCTGTAATTCAGTATTCCGATTCTTATTGCGTAAAACAATTTCTTCGTAGAAATTATTCTTGTCATATATTGACATAACCCCTATACAAAGTGCTGACCGATTTTACGAATTTTGAGTGTTCAACAAATGTCAGATGGTTGCCAAATCTGGTCCGGGTGAACTTAAAAATGTTATTACTTTTTATATCCTCAGCCTTATGGCTAACGAGGGTGCATCATTAAAATATGGGTTTTTGACCCTAAGTTTCTTTGGGTCACACCCGTTTCCTCACAATAATAACTCTCGAAGCGTGTAACCCATTTAAGGGGACCTCCCCATTCTCGGGGTCAAAAATTTTGTTGATATAATTCGAATCTACACTAATTAAAGAATGTCCCTACAAAATTTCAAATGAAAATCTCAAGAACTCTTGAAGAGCCGATTTATTGTGTCAGCATCAAGTGACGGCTGAAGGGCTTCTCAAACTTTAAACGCGTTTTTCTCTAAACATTTTTTTGCGAATGGCGGGCACGATAACTCAAAAACTAATAACCCAATCTACTTCAAATTTTTACACGTTTCTCTGTGAGTGTATAGCTATCGTATGAACTAGGATAAAGCCAATCGGAGATGATCTTCCTTATTTTTTAACTTGGGTTTTGGTAAAAAATGCGATTTTCCAAAAATATATATATATTTTGTTAATTTTAAAGCGAAGTCAATAATCCTAGTTCATACGAATTCCGATGTTTCAGTGAGAAGTTATCATGCCCGCCATCAAAAATAAGGATTTTTTTTTGATTACAAAAAACAACAACAAAACAATAACAAAAATTTTTTGTAAATTATTTTTCTTCTAATTTAAATCTTCAAGTATATATGTGTTAAGTTACAAACCTTAACAAGCATTGGTATTGATTTACCAGCCCATTGAAAATTTTGAAAAATTAAAATTGAGAATGGGTGGGGTTCCCTTAAGATAAACTTTCCACATCCAACTATTTGTTCCAAACATTGTTCAAGTTCAAATATAAGGGATATTTGTTCATTCTTCGGCCCACTCGGCAATACTTCGCTGAAAGTTTTATACTATCATGCGATTTGAACCAAATTTTGCACAACCTAATATTTTATGAATCAAAGTAAAATTTGGAGCTTTTCGGATCTCTCCTTCTATTAACTTCCTCACAAAGGATCGAACATAACATCCAATTTAGTACAAACTTTGCCAAGGTAGATATATAAGGTAGCCGCATCGGCGAATTGGGAACATGATATGTCAAAATTGTTATCAAGGCGAATGAAAATGAATTCGCCTTTTATTTTTCAACCAATCAGAACAAAGCATTTGTGAAGTTTTATAAAATATTTATTTACATTTTTAAATTTGTGTGTTTTTTTGCAAATCGTAAATTTATGAAGCATAAATGATAAAAATGATTCGTTAATGTTAAGGAACTGATGACAACGAATACATTTTTGGAGAAACGAAGACGTGGACCCATTTTGAATATGTTTTCTGTGGTAGTAGCACCTCAGCATACCAAACTCAACATATGTGGAAATCTAAGGTTCGAAATTACAACCACATTATTGAAATTGGGACGTATCATTATATGGAAGCGAACATAGAAAGTTTTGCAAGGAAATTTGCATTCAATAAGAAACCAAAATGCCAAATTGAAGAAACTGAATTCTAACAATATTTAACATCTCCAGGATGCAGTTCTGGTTTCCTAGATCAATATCCTTATCATATGAATTGTCTATTCTGAAGGTCTCATTCGAAAATTAAGGCTTCGTTCGCCCTTAGATTATTGATACACGTTTTATTATACGGTATATAATGAGGAAATTTTTTACGTGAAATGCGCCATCAAATCGTTATAGAAAGTCCCAAGATAATAGATTTTTATAATTTTTTATGTGAAGGTATCCTATACATAACCTATATATTTTGTTTTCAGAAATTGTCTTCATTAATTTTCATTTTTAATTTTATTTTTTTTTTCGGCGAATTCAAGAAAAGAAATGTTGTGACATATAATATTACCACCAGCTGGCTTGATACTGTTACCTCATTAATATACCTTGAACTTTGCATTTTGTAATATTTTTGACAAACTGGTGCCGGGTAATAAAATAGTCGGACTCGTCTATTTTATTTGAGGAAAATAAAGATCATAGCGCCATCTACCATATACTACATAAACCAAAATTATGTCTTTGAACTCCACTAGAGGTCGCCTACGTCTTGACATTTCCGTTACCATGACAACAGATTTCGATTTTAGTTTTGTATTCAATTTGACATTTTACCCAAAACAAATTAAAATAAACAACTAAACCAGAAAAACCTTAACTTTCAATCACAATGTTCAATTCGTATCCAAAACATTCGGGAATTTATTATGTTAAAGATGGTATTGAAAATTTGCAAATAAAAATACATTTTCGTAGTATTGGCAGTTTGTTGAAGTTACCCAAATTTGAGTTTCACAATAAGCAAGCAATGCAGGATTCATGGAAAAGCCGCAACGTGAGTGGAGTTTCCGAAGAAGATGACGATTCTACCACTACCACGATGGTGACATTTAAATGGCAGCAAAAAGTCTTCAGTGAATTGGAAAAGGAAATCTATAAGGATGAAAAGAATTGCATGACGGAACAGCAGCGAAAATATCATCAACAATTAAAGGAAGAGGAAAGAATGGCCAAAGACAAGGGAAAATTATCAAGGAAGAAGAATCGCCACAAGAAGGCAGGAAAACCAGAGGTGAATGAAGTGCCGGTGGAAGGTGGTCAAAAGATAATATTTTCCTATGTGGTGGATGATCATTTTAAGCCAAAAGATGCGGATGTAGATTCTTCGATTATATCGAAAAACATGTTGGCTTCCATAGAACCCTGTGAGGTTATGTATATTTATGCTGCCCTTAAACCAGATACCCAATTGGTGGTAATGAAATGGTTTGGAAAACAAAATTTGTTCTACATCTATCCGGATTTTAATCAATTTCAAATTGAGCCATATTATATTGAATTGGATACTGATTATCGTCATTTGTATGCCTATGGTATTGAGGATATATCGGTGAAACTCAAACCGCAGAAAAAGGAAGCGGATGAGTTCCTCTACTTACCCGAATTATCAACACATTGGTTGTACGAAGATGAGTTGTCGAAGAAGTTCGCAATGCCACCAAAAAGAACCCAACGTTGTGCGGTTTTGTTTACCCTTCAGGAAGTGAGCGGTTTGGAATATGATAATATTCACATTCGGTATGAAATTAAGTTGCCAGTGAATACCTTACTGGAGGAGGGTCTATTGGAGGGCTCAACACATTCAGCTTCCGCAAATGGTAATGGCACCACACACATTGGCTACACTTGGCAGTTGACGATATTATGTGAAGAACATTTCGATCCCTCTCAGTGTTTGAGAATTTATTTTGAAATCATATCCATCGATTCATGGTTAAGAGAACGTACCGAAGGTTATTGTCATTATTCCTTGAGGCTTATGAAACCCTTTCAACATAATGTGGACTTACAATGCCTTGTGCCAACGGAATCATTTGCGGATTCTTTGACTCGTTATTTTATTGGAGGTCGACGGAAATTTGATTATATGCGATTTGTTAAGGAGGAGCAGCAGGAAGAGGAGCATGTAGGACAAATCCATTGTCGTTATGGTGTTCGCATGCGGAATTCTGGCCAACTGAAATTATCCTGCCAATCTTTAACACAGCGTAATTGCGAGTTACTGAATCCATGTGCCAGCCGAACCAGTGGCATGACTTTAGATGATATTATGATGGCCTATAAGGAAGCGAGGAGGAGACTGGAAGCCATTACCCTAAAGTAGGATATTTATTTATATTTTTATGAAAAAAAAAAAAATAAAAGGCGTAAAATAAAAAAATAAAGGAATTTTTTGAGGAATATTATCTATTCTCAAGGCGTGGATTTTTTAAAGGAATTTTTTGAGGAATATTATCTATTCTCAAGGCGTGGATTTTTTTAAAGGAATTTTTTGAGGAATATTATCTATTCTCAAGGCGTGGATTTTTTAAAGGAATTTTTTGAGGAATATTATCTATTCTCAAGGCGTGGATTTTTTAAAGGAATTTTTTGAGGAATATTATCTATTCTCAAGGCGTGGATTTTTTAAAGGAATTTTTTGAGGAATATTATCTATTCTCAAGGCGTGGATTTTTTAAAGGAATTTTTTGAGGAATATTATCTATTCTCAAGGCGTGGATTTTTTAAAGGAATTTTTTGAGGAATATTATCTATTCTCAAGGCGTGGATTTTTTAAAGGAATTTTTTGAGGAATATTATCTATTCTCAAGGCGTGGATTTTTTAAAGGAATTTTTTGAGGAATATTATCTATTCTCAAGGCGTGGATTTTTTAAAGGAATTTTTTGAGGAATATTATCTATTCTCAAGGCGTGGATTTTTTAAAGGAATTTTTTGAGGAATATGAGGAATATTATCTATTCTCAAGGCGTGGATTTTTTAAAGGAATTTTTTGAGGAATATTATCTATTCTCAAGGCGTGGATTTTTTAAAGGAATTTTTTGAGGAATATTATCTATTCTCAAGGCGTGGATTTTTTAAAGGAATTTTTTGAGGAATATTATCTATTCTCAAGGCGTGGATTTTTTAAAGGAATTTTTTGAGGAATATTATCTATTCTCAAATTTTTTGAGGAATATCAACAATTCTCAATGCGTGGATTTTTTAAAGGAATTTTTTGAGGAATATTATCTATTCTCAAGGCGTGGATTTTTTAAAGGAATTTTTTGAGGAATATTATCTATTCTCAAGGCGTGGATTTTTTAAAGGAATTTTTTGAGGAATATTATCTATTCTCAAGGCGTGGATTTTTTAAAGGAATTTTTTGAGGAATATTATCTATTAAAGGAATTTTTTGAGGAATATTATTATTCTCAAGGCGTGGATTTTTTAAAGGAATTTTTTGAGGAATATTATCTATTCTCAAGGCGTGGATTTTTTAAAGGAATTTTTTGAGGAATATTATCTATTCTCAAGGCGTGGATTTTTTAAAGGAATTTTTTGAGGAATATTATCTATTCTCAAGGCGTGGATTTTTTAAAGGAATTTTTTGAGGAATATTATCTATTCTCAAGGCGTGGATTTTTTAAAGGAATTTTT